CTCTGTCAAGTCTCAGGTGGAAGACATCCTTGATTCCTCTTTTCCTGAATCCTACCTTTGAAAGACAACCCAGCAGTGCCCACTCCTCCTTGTCTGCTCTGTCATCACCCCTACAATCGTCAACACCCACCTGCAGAGCAATACTCCCACCCACACCACCCGTCTCCCCTGCTCTACTCATGCCCCCTCCAGTCCAGCGTCATCTTTCAAAAACAGAAATGGGAGGGGCACCTGGGTGGCTCAGTCGGTTAAGCATCCGACTTCGGCTCAGGTCATGATCTCACGGTTTCTGAGTTTGAGCCCCGTGTCAGGCTCTGTGCTGACAGCTCAGAGCCTGGAGCCTGCTTCAGATTCTATGTCCCCCTCTCTCTCTAACCCTCTCCTGCCTGTGCGCGCTCTCTCTCTCTCTCTCTCGCTCTCAATTATAAATAATAAACATAAAAAGTTTTAAAAAAACAGAAATGGGATCATGCTCCCGCCTACTTACAATGCTTCAGTGGCTTCTCACACTCCCCCACCACCATGGTGTTCCAGCCCCACTGGCCCCTCTTCTCCTCCCCCTGCCCCCAGAGCTGCCCTTACTCATTCTCCAGGTCTCTGCTTAAATGCCACTTCCTCAAGGCACCTTCCCTGACTGTTATTCTAGTTCAATGTGGAGACAAAAGAGGGCTGTAATCCTTTGACAGTCCTCCGACAAGAGGAAGGCTTTATTTCCTATCTCCTTAAAGCTGAGCTCAGGCCAAGAGATGGTGTTGTACCAGTTCCAGGCCTAGCACTGAAGAAGATGGGGCTTCCCCAGTGCTCTCTCAGAGTCCGGGATTATGGTGTCTGAAGTCTGACACCCAGCTGAAATACCAGGTAGAGAGGTCCTGATACCACATGGGGAAGGATTCAGCCCAGCTGGGCCCAGCCTTCCAGCCATCCCCAGAAAAGCACATTAAGTAAAGCCATCTTGGACTGTCTAGCCAGAGCAGCCACCAGCTGAATATCGCTCAGTGATCCCAGTCAATGTCATATAAAGTAGAAAAATCACCCAGTTGAGCCCTGTCCAAATTCCTGACCCACTAAACCATGAGTTACTAAGATCTGGGACTAAGTATTGCTGTTACACATAATACTAACCAGAACGCTCTGCATTATATTTACTTCCATCATAGCACCTCCTGGACAACTATACATTTTTTTCAATTGCCCAGGCAGATAAGGACCAAATGGAGAAGGACTGAACTTAGAATCAAGAGACCTGAGTTCTTGTTATGGACTGAATGTCTATGTCCCCTTAAATGTCATATGTTGAAACCCTAGGCCCAGTGTGATGGTCTCAGGTGGTAGGGTCTCTGGCAGATAAGTAGGATTGGGGCAGAGCCCACATGAATGGAATTCGTGTTCTTAGAAGAGTCAACAGAGAGAGAGCTTGCTCTCTCTTCTCCTCGCCATGTGAAGACACAGTGAGAATGAGCGGTCTCCATGCTGAGAGGACTCTAACCAGAACCTGGCCATACTGGCATCCCATCTGGGCTGGACTCACTGGGCCTGAGCTCCCTGTGGCACAGAATTCAAAGAAAGGCTCAAGTGATGGCTCTGAGGATTCACCTGGGGTAGGTTGAACATCTGGAGAACAATATCATCACTTGTCTCTTTTCTACCATCACATTATGCACATTGAGGATGTCTTATTTTCTTAGACTGTGCCATGTGCTGAAACACAAAGATGATTAGAACACAGTCCCTGCTCTCAGATAATGTACCTTCTCTTGAGAGACAAGCACATGTCTTGGGGCATGCCCACGGTTGGTATGGATGGTTGAGGTGGGCACCACGTCCTTTGAACTCTGCTACCTGCTTGCTCTTTGGGGCTCAGTGTAGATGTCACTTCCTCTTGAAAGCTTCCTTGAGTCTGACCTGGTGCTTCCTCTGTGTGCCCATAATATTCTGTATTTGTTGTTTGTTTATTTAGCCATATTTACTGAGCACCTACCAGGTGCCATGCCCTGATTTATAGTAGTAAACAAGACAGGCGGTTCCTGCCATAGTGGAATTTCCTGTCTAATGGAAGAGAGATGAACAATCAAACATAAAAAACAGAAGAAAGAAAATATCATCAAATGATTGCTGTGATGGACTTGCAGCTTCTAGCACCGTGCAAAATAGGTTTATAAGCCACCATGGTCTGTGGTACTTTGTTACAGCAGCCAAATGGACTGACGGTCCCCATCCCAGTTCGGACACTCATTTGCTGTGCAAATCAATTCCCTATCTTGGGCAAATCAATTCTCTCTCTAAACAAAATCTCTCAGCCACAGCAGGCTTTATACACCAAGTATGTTTCTGCCCTCCCTTCCTTACTCCCACTCATTCACAACCCTCCCCCCCCCCCCATCTCTGTCTGGCACTGGGCCCACTGCACTGGGAATAAACTAACAAGATCTAGGCCCTTCCCTCAAGGCCCTGAGAGGCTACCTGCCAGAGAGATGGACACTCTTAAATGAAGTATCTGTAAGACAGCAAGACAAGCCTTCTCTGGACAGCAGGACGAAGGACCCAGAGCACAGCACAGATCTTGTCCACTGAGCTCCAGAGAGGCAGCCAGAGGTCAGCACTGGTTGGCCCTGGGGTCAAAGGGCAAATCCAGGCATCCCTTAGAGACTCCTGCTTCCAAAGCTGCATTAGCATCGTGCGGAGGGCCTATGCCAGCTGCACTGGCCTGGGCCGACACCCTAATTAGACTTTCATAGTGTGTCAAGCAGCCTGCTTGGCCCGACTGCCAGCTGGGGCTCCTGTTCCGTCTGGTGGCCTCTGTTTAATGAACCCATGAGGGGCTGGGCGAGCTCATTACAGGCAATGCGAAGGAACAGGGGACCCCTGCCCATGCTCCCCTGCTCCCCCGCCTTTCCCCCATGTTCACGCTGAAAATGCAAAGGGAGGAGACTGGCAGGAGCTGAGGCCACAGCCTGACCACACAGCCCTGGATGGCTCCAGTGACAGCTCAGCCAGAAACAAGGGTTTCCGTGCGTGCATCTGTGGTTTTAGGGGAGCGTCCACATCTCTGTTCTCAGGCTGCACCCTGGCCCTTTCTTATCTGAAGCCAAGGAGGCAGAAGGAAAATGACAGTTCAAATCTGTCTCTTTGCAATGACTGGTCCACAGACACGTTTGGACAAGCTGCTTTTCTCAGAGCTTCACTGTCCTCATCTTTAAGATAGGCCAGTAACAGCCACCCAGCACAACGTGCTTGGTTATCACACTCAATAAATTGTCATTGCTGTTGCTATTACTAAAAGATAGGCAAGAGAAGGCACCAAAACATGAGCCATGTTTGCTTCTGAGTGGCAGGACTCTGCGAGTGACTTTTTTCCTCCTATTTGTCTGTATTTTCTAAATTGTATACAATGAGCATTTTACCTTCATCATTTAGGAGGTGAGGGGGAGCACATTTTCTCAAAAAAATCTATCAGAAAAATGAGATTATGTGTGTGAAAGGGCCTGGACACTGCCTGGGAGGAGGTTATTGATAGAAGCTTCCTCCTGCAGCCTAAGTTTGAATAGAAATTGGTTAAAAAAAAACAAGCATGGTATGTGCAAAGATATAATAAATTTTTGCCCCTTGATAAAGCAATCCGCACGAAAGTGAGTGTTCACATGGTGTGGCACAGACCAAAGGAAATGTTTAAGGGAATTTAAAGGAAGGCCTTTAGCAGTACACAAACAAAATATACGTAAGAAGGTGGAAGCAAGCCAGTGTCCCCTGACAGGCGAATGGATAACTACAATGTGCTCTACACATACAGTGGAATATTACTCAGCCTTCAAAAGGGCACACGCTACAATATGGAAGACCCTGGAGGTTATACTAAGAGAAAGAAGCCAGTCCCTAAGGGCAACTACTGTATGAGTCCACTTATATGAGGTGCCTAGTGTAGTGAGATCCGTAGAGGCAGAGAGTAGAATGGTGGCTGCCAGGGTCTGGAGGGAGAGGAAATGGGGAGTTAGTGTCTGATGGGTACAGTGATGCTGCTTTGCAAAAGGAAAAGCATTACGGGGTTTGTATGGTGGTGATGGATGCACAATACCATGAGTATCCTTAACACTACATAATCGTACATTTAAAAATGGTTAACACGGTAGAGTTTATATTACATACATTTTACCACATTTTTTTTTAATGTAGAGAGAAAAACGGGATGGAACCCAGAGGAAGGAGGAATGGGTCGGGGTTGGGGGGGCGGGCGGTTGAAGTAAGTTGCAGATGCCCTGCCTTGAGGGCGACTGGCTGGAGACACAGCAGGTAGAGGAGGCGGAGGTCCTGGCAGCGTGACAGCGGGAGAGAGGGCTGCAGAGCGCCGCCCTGCGGAGCGAACGCTGCCCCTGAGCGGCTGCTACCTCCTACCTGCACTGAGGAGGCTGGCCCCACGCGGGTTCTGGACAAAGCGGTTTTGTCGCTGGCGGACTCGGCCAGCCACATCAGTGCCTCAGCAGATCCGAGCTCACAAACCCCAAGTTTGGAGTGTGAGAAATCAGGGCCCGGGACGTTGCGTATCATAAATTAACAAGGCAGAAAAAGAACCTGGGCACGGCTCCTCCAGAGGAGTAGCAAAGGGGGATGCGTTGAGCATCACTTCCACGGAGAAGAGATTCTGAGGTCACTGTGCTGAAGGAATGGGGAAGTGGGCTGGCTGACCCCCAGATAAAAGAGAACTGGGTAGAGTCAGGATGTCCTGAAAAGGGGGGGTGGGGGGGATGTCACGCTGGCCCAAATAAAGACTAGTACAATGCCTGGTGCATAGTGGGATAGCGGTAGACAATTTACTGAGCATTTACTGTCTGCGCTAAGCACGGCTCTTGTGTTTCTCATCTATTCCCTACAGCATCCTCCCCGCGTGGGAACTATTTGGATCTTCACTTCACGCGCAGGAAGTCAGGCACAGGAAGGTCAGTAACCCAGGCTCGGCCTCCTTTGTGCTTTGCTGCCTCCCACCGGCCCAGGCCCCGGCCCCCTCTCACTTGAACTGGTGCTCCCGGGAACTGCGGATCTTGGAGGAGAAGCGCTCGGCCAGCTTCTCCAGGCTGCGGGAGTACTCGAGCTCAATCTCAGCTTTGCGGCGGAAGAACTCCTGGAGGTCCTGGAGCAGCTGCAGGCGCGACTCGGACTGCTGCTCCAGGCATTTGAACTGCTCCACCAGCTGCGTGCGGATCTCTGCGGGCAGAGGCAAGGCGCAGCGGCGTTAGGCTGTGCTCGGGGACAGCAGTGGGACCCGCCCGGCTGACCCAGGGCCCCGTCGCAGGCACTGCAATTCCTGCAGCCCCCTCCCCGCCGCCACCCTCCGCGTGCCCGGACTCCAGCTTCCGCAGGCACTGGCACAAGGACAGGGCGGCTCTTGTCACGTGGTCTAACCCAATATTTCCCAAAGGTGAATCATTGTATGTCACCACCTTGGTTTTTGCCATATCCATATGCCGCCAACGTTATTGTTTCTTCCACACGATCTAGTAAATTGGCTCACTTTTTTTACTGAAATGAACTTACTTGAAGTGAACGTTTTTGTGTCACTATGCTGAGGGAAAAACTAGGCCCACTTGCCATCCTGGGGCACGGAAAATGAGTTCAATGAAAACAAAAATTTTGTAAAATTCTATCCAGAGACCGATGCTTACCAAAGGCCCTGAGCCCAAGCTGCCTGCTCTCTACCAACAAAAGGAAAATGGGAGTGTGCAAGGCGCTAAAACCCTTCTCCAGATGCAATCGGGCCTGAGAGAGGCTGAGAAGGGGATATGTGTTGGGGGGGGGGGGAACTCTTGGGTTTCAGTGTTACTTAAGGCCACATCTGTGTTCCACTTTACATCACCTTGAGGTCCATGCATAAACATCTCAAGTACCCCTAAAGGAATGTCACCCACCCTCCAGGAAATACTGACCGCAAACCAGATCTGTGCAACCAGGGCAAAAGTTCAAAAGCTGGGGAGGTAGAGATAAAAGTCACAGCCAAATCCCAATAACTATGGCCAATCTCATCTTCAAACCCGTAGTGCTGTGCTGTCGCTGCAGCTGTCTCTCTGCTTTAACTCCTTCCCTGCCATCCCACAAGCTACTCAACACCTCAGTCTCCCCACAGCACTCTGCTCACACAAACTCCCTGCTCGAAACACCCCACAGCCTGCTTCTGAGTATTAAGCCCAACTCCTTAGCATGGAATTTAAGGCCACCAGCCACCCAGCCACAAACTTTACTACTCAGGGTTTACCCCCAGTAGACTCTTGAGACCATTCAAACTCGTCCTTGAAATGTCCAATCCCACCTGCATAAACAGGCACTCTGTCTGAAATGATGGCCAACACTATCTCAGCATCCTTCAGAGAAGTGGTCTTCACAGGGGGCCTCCCCATGCTGGGGTACACAAAGGCTTCCCCTGGGGGTATGCAGGCAGGAAAAGTACAAGGGAATCAGCAGGAGATCCTGTTTCCATCCCCACTCTTCCCTGCTCTGCCTGAGAATGTGTCTCAGTCTAGATGGCATGCCTGCCCTCCTTCCCCACTTCCCTCTTCACACCTGCTTTGCAGAAGAAAGACCAACTTCCTCGTCCATTCACAATCTATGGTGCAGTGCCCCTAAGTGTCAAGATATCTGGGTGCCCCCCAAAATGGATGATTTAGCCTGTTGATGTTTGCAAATCTTCCTTTGGCATCATGAACGTTTGCTCCTCAAAGAGTGGTCTGTGGACCAGGGGGCTTGTTAGAAAAGCAGAATCTCAGACCCCAATGCAGAACTTCTGATTCAGAGTCTACATTTTAGCAAGATCCTCAGGTGGTCCTTATGTCCCTGAGAGTATGAGAAGCACTGCCGCCAACCATCCCACCCATCTCCTAATGAGAAGCATTTCCCACACTATTGTACTTTTTATGTTTAGTCATTATTTATCAAATGTGTAAAATATTGATATCATTTTGATAAATTGTGTATGTGATCACTGTAATGACAAATCAATCCAAAAAAAAGATACTTAGAGCTTTTATGGGCAAAGGAAACATTTTAAATGTCCACTTGAATTTATATACATGTTTTGGATCCAAAGAAGTATGATAGAGGGGCAGCTGGGTAGCTCAGTCAGTTGAGCATCTGACTTCAGCTCAGGTCATGATCTCACAGCTCATGGGTTCGAGCCCCACATTGGGCTCTGTACTGACAGCTTGGAGCCCGGAGCCTGCTTCAGATTCTGGGTCTCCCTCTATCTCCGCCCCTCCCCCACTTATGCTTTGCCTCTCTCTCTCAAAAATAAAATAAACATTAAAAAAAAGAAATTTGATAATCAATAAAAGAATTTCAAGTATAAAAATATATTAAGATAAAATTCTGTTAGAGAAATATAAGGGAATTATGAGTCCAAAAAGGTAAAGAAAAGTGCAATATAAAATTTCTGACTCATCTGGGTAATTTTTGATGGATAGTGGTGGATACCAGTGCATTATGGCATTTATCCTATTACCTGGAGATTCCCTCATGACTACATACCCAAAACAAATCCAGAGTTGATGTCCACCAAAAAAATATATAGAAGAATACTTACAGTAGCTTTCTGGCCAAATAATAGAAACAACCCAAAATGTCCATTAAGAGTAGACAAAACCTTTTTTTATTGAGATTTCAATGGAATACTATATAACAATGGAAAAGATGAACTCCCGCTACCTGCCATGACATACTTGAATCTCCCAGACCTTATGTTGGTTGAAAGAAGCCAGAACAAATGAGATCATGCAAAACTAGTGTATGGTGACAGGGGTCAGAGAAATGGTTACTGTTGGAGAGGCACTAACTGGCAGGAGGCAAAAGGGTGCCTTCTAGAACACTGGAGATATACTATACCTCGATTTGGGTGGCAGGTACACTGGTAAAAAAGAACTGAGTGGCATACCTGAGATCTGTGCATGCTGCTGTATATAAGTGATCCTGCGATAAAGAGGCCAAATTAAAAATGCTATGTTAGTTTCCATTTGATGCATTTAAGAGAGTAGTGTAATTTTATGGTACAAGGTCAATATTTACAATATGACATAAATGAGATCCTTTGTAACTACTTAAAGTTACAATGAAATTTTTTCAGATGTCGAGTTAAAATGTGTGAGGCAAGAGAGTTTTCCCCCACCAAGTTCACTTAGAGGGCAGGCACGCAAAAGAGCTTAAACCCTGCTTGAGAGCCCCTGTCAAGGACAGCTCCTCCCAGGGAGTCCTGGACCGCTGTCTTGGCCCTACTCTGAACTCACACGGTACTTCCGGTTTGTCTCTGCCTCGTGCTGTTGTTTTCATTCTTTCAGTATGTGTGTCATAGCTGCCTTACCTCCTCAAATAAAATTTAAGCTCTGCAGGTGGGTTTTCCCCACACGTAATAGATCATCAGGAGATCAATATCTGCATATTTATCTTTACCAAGTGCTTTCACCCAAGGACATTAAGTGTTGTGATTATGGGAGTCTCACTCGACACAAACATACGCAAAAACCACACTCACACACCAGACACCGCCCCCCACACACACACACCATGACATTATTATCCATTTTTTAGAGGAAGAAACCATGGCTCTGTATAAACTACAATCAGGAACTTATCCAAGGTCACATTTTGTTCCCTGAACTGTAACACAGGTGCGCCTATGACACGGCCTACTTGTTACATTGGATCGAGATGCCATTACTCCCCAAAGGGTAAGCCCTGCCATGTCAACACATAGTTATAAAAATGCTTTCCAAATATTTTTCAAATTACTTTCAGACTCTATACTATTTGGGACTCAAAATAATCTTAATAATAATTACTAGCACTTACGGAGTCTGTCATTTGTTGCAGGCCCAGTGCTGACTTCTTTACATATTTATCTCACATGATCTGTATAGCTTCCCCATAAGGCAGGTGCTACTAGTGTTCCTTCCCCATTTTCTCCCCCCAGAGATGAGGAGGTAGAGGCTCAGAGGTAAGCAGCCTCTGTTCATAACAGCTGGTATGTTGCAATTAACCTAGGAATCAAGCCCAGATCCCGCAGATGGGAGCAATGACCCTTCAGGTATCTAACTAGACTCAGACCACATTATTTTTTAAAAAAACACTTTAATCCGGGGGGCCTGGGTGGCGCAGTCGGTTAAGCGGCCGACTTCAGCCAGGTCACGATCTCGCGGTCCGTGAGTTCGAGCCCCGCGTCAGGCTCTGGGCTGATGGCTCGGAGCCTGGAGCCTGTTTCCGATTCTGTGTCTCCCTCTCTCTCTGCCCCTCCCCCGTTCATGCTCTGTCTCTCTCTGTCCCAAAAATAAATAAACATTGAAAAAAAAAAATTAAAAAAAAAAAACACTTTAATCCATCTGTCTTCAACCTCTTGTATCCTATTTGTAACAGGATGGTGGTCTAAAGAGTATTATTAATCAGAAATGCTGTAGCCACTGCTTTCCTCCATTACAGGGCATAATCAGGAGCCAATGTTCACATATTTTAGAGGAAAAACTCATAAATCACACTGTGATGACAGAAGAGGATTTGGAAGGAGCAGAGAATCTCCCCCAATTCATACCACCAGCTGGAGCCTCCAGGCTGGGTCGTGCATAGAACCTTCCAGCAGCTTGGACAGCTCAGAGTCAGATCTTTCTAGCAGGAAACGGTCCTGGCCGGATCTCAGACTGCAGCTTGCCCACGCTCTCTCTGGAACCCTGAAAGGATTTGATTACCCATCTCGTTATTTCTAACTCCTTTCCAAGTTGCTCCTCCTTGGAGCTGGCACAGAGTTGGGTTTTCTCCTTGAAGATTTCAAAGGAGCGACAAAAATAAAATAAAACAGAACTGCTCCCAAGGCTCAGACTCCAGTCAGCAGACGTTCCCCCCAGGGGGCGGTTCCAGCCACAGCAGAGCACTGAGTGGCAGAAAAATTAAAAGCGGGTGGGGCAGGGAAGAGAAGGGGTTTGGAAAGTCGGTGAAGGCTCTCTGTTCTCAAAACCTTGGAACAGACCTCTCTGATCACCTAGTGCAGCCTCTTGGTTTTACAGATAGAGGCCTGAGGCCCAAAGAAGGGGCAGAACTAATTCTGACACCCCAGTCTCCTGAAGCACAGCTCTCCGGTGTCACTCTCCTGATAAAATTCTCCATGGCTCCCTGCAGCTAATAGGATCAAAACCAAACTCCTCTGACATTCAAAGCCCAAGAATTTACAGCCTGCCTAT